GAGCTCCAGAGTTCCTCTGTGGAGATGGGAGAACCTTCCAGAAGGACAGCCATCTCTGCAGCACTCCATCAATAAGGCCTTTATGGTAGAGTGGCCAGACGGAAACCACTCCTCAGTAAAAGGCACGACAGCCCGCTTGGAGTTTGCCAAAAAGCATCTAAAGGACTCAGACCATGAGAAACAAGATTCTCTTTTCTGATGAAACCAAGATTGAATTATTTGACCTGAAGGCCAGTGTCACATCTGGAGGAAACCTGGCACCACCATCCCTAAGGTGAAGCATGGTGGTGGCAGCCTCATGCTGTGGGGATGTTTTCCAGCGGCAGGGACTGGGAAACTAGTCAGGATCAAGGGAATAATGAGCGGAGCAAAGTACAGAGAGATCCTAGATGAAAACCTGCTCCACAACGCTCAGGACTTCAGACTGGGGCGAAGGTTCACCTTCCAACAGGACAACGACCCTAAACACACAGCCAAGATAATGCAGGAGTGGCTTTGGGACAAGTCTCTGAATGTCCTTGAGTGGCCCAGCCAGAGCCCGGACTTGAACCCGATCGAACATATCTGGAGAGACCTGAATATAGCTGTGCATTATTGCTCCCCATCCAACCTGACAGAGCATGTGAGGATCTGCAGAGAAGAGTGGGAGAAACTCCCCAAATACAGGTGTGCCAAGCTTGTAGCGTCATACCCAAGAAGACTCAAGGCTGTAATCGCTGCCAAAGGTGCTTCAACAAAGTACTGAGTAAAGTCTGAATACTTATGTAAATTTAAATTGCATTTTAAAATGTGTATTACATTTGCAAACTTTTCTAAAAATCTGTTTTTGCTTTGTCATTATGGGGTATTGTGTGTAGATTGATGAGGAAATAAACAATTTAATCAATTTTAGAATAAGCCTATAACGTAACAAAATGTGGAAAAAGACAAGGGGTCTGAATACTTTCTGAATGCACTGTATATATAAACTTATGCAATGCGTTATGCACTTCTGTATAACACGTGTTGTTTTTCCTATGGGAAAATAATCCTAAAGTTTTCTCTTCTGTTCCATATGTTGGTGTGGATGTTTTGCATCAGATGGCACGGCTGTACTCTGTGAAAGGAGGCACCCGCCGCTGGCCTGTTGCTGTGTTCTACAACATGCTTGACTTGGCTGCTATCAATGCACACGTGTTGTTCAAGCAGTGCATTAACAACACCATGCCCAGGAGCAGTGGCGGCTCCTGAAAAAATTCTCAGGAGGGGCAATTTTTCTGATGATTTAGGTGACCTACACACATTTTTAAAAAGATATGTCCAGCAACAACATGAAGACAGGGGCAGCATATAAGTCAATACCAGAAGCATTTATTGACTGATCTCAAAAGTGTTGGCTTACAAAAGCAAAATAAGTTATCACAGTAAAAATAATCAAGGGTGTTCTTTCACATTCCTCAACACTGCATAAACAATATGTATGGCTTTGTAAAAATGAACAACCATATTCTGGCCAATTGTATAGATTTGTAAATATGAACAACCATATTCTGGCCAATTGTATAGATTTGTAAAAATGAACATGAACAGATTTTTTATTTTTTTGAATGGCAGTACCTTTCAAACATGTCTGCTTGCAGTAAGGTAGCACTCACAAGGTGGCCAGAGAAAGAGAACCTTTCTTTGGTGTGATCCAGGATGGTGTTGCAGACCTCTTCAGACAGCCTCTGCTTCTCCTCTTCTCTCAAAGCTGTTCTGGGTCTTTTGGCTCCTGTTGCTTCTTGCAGCTGCTGTTGAGAGGAGTCCCTGAAGGCAAACAGACCAATGTGTTTGTTGGCTTTGTACAGTATTGTTGTCTATGTGATGCACAGGTATATGCAATGTATCCATGTATAGTACAAATACTTCAGTTCCACTTAAAATGGGCAGGGATGCATAAAGTCTTTAGTGTTTAAGTTAGCCTTTGTGTCTCACATAGCCTGGATGTTCAGCACAGTATACAGTGGTGCTCATAAGCTTATGATCCCATGCTAAAGTTGACTAAAAAGAGGAATAAAAAAGAAAAGAAAATTGGTGTCCTTAAAGGTTGGATTTTCCAACTTTTTTAATTAAGTCATTAAGATCAATTTCCAAAAGATGATTTTTTTATTTTTTTATTCCTCTTTTTAGTCAGCTTTAGAATGTGTTCATACACTTATGAGCACCACTGTACAGTACACATAGTATATAAAATAAGATAGATTACACCACTGGCCATATATAATGACAATAATGTAATTTCAAACACAAATGCAGTCTCCTTTCATGCATACATTTTCAAATAAAGCTCTGCTTTGAGAAAGATCGAATGATATTGTTTAATCTTTATCTTACCTTATGGCCTGCACACTGCTTGCGAAGCTGTCGAGGGCACGTTTGATAAAGACAGCATCGATGTCCTTATTCTGTAGCTTCTGGTACGGTGGGCTGGTCAAATGAACCCAATGAACCCGTCCGGATGGCTTCAAAACATTCTATGAGGTCGTCTCGATTCTCGTAGACAGTGTTCACGACTCTGCTGTTGCTAACCTCATCGTTGTGGCGGCGGACAGCTAGCCTGTATCCCTCATCCAGTTGAGTGGCAATATTCACTCTCACCAAAGCAGACAATCTCAAACAGCTATCAATGTGGGTCTTTGACAGCTCATTTTTCTTAATCTTTTCTGAAAGATGGTGCATGTCGGTTACACCAGTCGCTGTCCAAGCGTTGCTGTCTGCCGTTCATGGTTACGTTACGTTACGTATGACGAAAGCGCGTAAGTGCAAGCCCTCAGACACCCATAGAGAATGTATTGAAAGCTCAGAAATTTGAAAAAAAAATATTTTACATTAGAGGCTATGAGAGACTTCTGGGCGATTTTCAACCTGACTGAAATCGCCCCAAAACGGGCGGGGACATTTGAAGCACGACTTTAGCCTGATTGGACATTTAGTGGCTGGCAGATCAGACGTGAACACTGAACTACTGTTGCCATGATATAATTGATTAGAAAAAAAATCCCTTCCTTTTCCCGTTTGGCAGTGTGTCGCCCATATCGCCCTATTGAACACACCGCCCATGCCCAGGAGAGACTTCATGATGAGTCTGGCATACGGGCTGAGCGAGAGACATATAAGGGCCAAGGCAGCAGCAAAGATTCCACTCGAGCCTTTGCGCCAGCCAAATTGCTTACAGCTCTCGGGGAGGAGACAGAGCCAGATGCACAAAGCACAGAACCCAAGACACCTGTGTCACCTGCAAGCGACGTGTTTGTGGGAAGTGTGTCAAACAAGTGAAAGTAGCGAAGTTTTGTGTCGACTGTTAGGACAAGGATTAACTGCTAAATTAAATCCAACTGATGCCATTTCGTGAAATAATATATATATGTTTTACTCCTGTCATATCAGCACTTATATTCATTATAATGGCATTATTGCTTTTGTGCTGATTTTCGCTATTTGTGAAGCACACTTGGTGCTTATAATGATGTTTAGGCTACTGTTTTCATCGTTTGACCGCGCTTTTGCTGACAGTGGGTCTTTGTGGTTGGGGTATTTTGAAAAAAAAAAAAGTTATAAAAATAAACTGTTACGATGTTCCAACACATATGGTTTCTGTTTCATAGTTGTAACAAAGGCACTCCACAAATAAAATCGATTGAACAATTGCATTTTAGTAGTTTTAGTTTTTACAGATAGCCTACAGTAATAAAAACTAATGAAAATGCTATATTGTTATTTGAAAAAAAAAAAAAATATAGTATTCTAATGTTACCTAACACCTTCATAAACACAACCAAATTATTATTTTAGCGATAGCATATATGAAATTTATTAATTACACTGTTAGAAAGTTGCAGTCAGAATGACAACCAGCAGACCATTCTGAGTCGTAATAGGATGTTGGGGAAGAACAGTTTGTCTTGTGATAGGCTTGCCAGGGGCACTGTCAATTACAGGATCTGTAATTCTTGATATGGAATGTCATGAGTTATCCACTCCTGGGCTCAATGACACAACAGTCCCCCCTTGTAGATCCAGCTCGGATGGTTTCCCGAGCTGTGAACCACAATGAAGGAGTGGGAACGAGGTGTCCTTTTGGTGCTGTGTTTCTTTACCACGTCTTTCGGTCAGCCATCCTGGTTAACCTAGGCAGTAACTTAGCAATAAGGTTCATGGCACATGACATTCAAGCAATACACCATTACATTTCCTTTCCCATGAGTGGACACCGTGGCACTTAATTCGTGGTGGTATGGCAGACTGTTCATGACAGTTTAATAACAAATAAAAAAAATTGAAGATTACAACAATAGGTAAATAAACACAGTCATTCTGGTTACCACACATTAACTATCCAAGCACATTCTTAGTCCTGAACTTATGCAGGCTTGCCGTAACAAAGGGGTTGAATACTTATTGACTCAAGTCACATTTCAGCTTTTCCTTTTTAATTAATGAAAAACATAATTCCACTTTGACCTTATGGGGTATTGTGTGTAGGTAAGTGACCAAACAAATCTAAATGTAATCCATTTTCAATTCAGGATGTAACAACAAAATGTGGAAAAAGTCAAGGGATGTGAATACGTTCTGAAGGCACTGTACAGTATGTCTGGAGATGATGGTATGCAGCATCCTATTGGCACCCTATTTCCTATGTAGTGCCCTACTTTTGACCAGAGCCCTGGTCAAAAGTAGTGCACTATATAGGGAAAAGGGGGGGCATTGTGACACAACCATGGTGTTTTTTCACTATACCTAGTACAGTATTAGGTTTTCGTGCATGGATAGTGATGGATCCTTCTGTCCCATAGCTATCCGAATGTCACCCTATCCAAAGTTGACCTTTATTCCTACGACCACCATGACAGAGCAAATTAGATGTTGAAGGTGAGAGGCCTGGAGAATAGTAGTGTTGAAACCACAGAGGTCCTATTAAATTAAGTTCTATATGTAATTACACGGTTCACACAGTGTCTGAGATCATCATTTCTATCCAGAGGTACAGTACATGACGTCTCTAACTGTACAGGGGAATGTTTGTTTCCAGAAAGAGACAGTAAGCCATAAAGCTATGCTGAAAGAGGGTGCTTTCCACTTGAACCTCCACCCAAAGGAATGTTTAGAAAACAACCCGTACAAACTGGACAAACCTCTGCCACCTCTGAAGAGATTGGTAGGTTAGCGTTTTCCATCATGAATCTTAAACAAGCAGGAAACCATGCACCTGGAGGCTGCTTTCCTTGTTGCCGGTGATTTTAATTCCGCGTCATTAAGACACGTAATGCCCAACTTCCATCAACACGTTTCCTTCGCCACTAGGGGCGATAAAGTCCTAGATCACTGTTACTCTACCCACAAGCAGCATAGAAGGCCCTCCCTCATCCCCCCTTCGGCAAATCAGATCATGACTCTATACTCCTGTTTACAAGCAGAATCTCAAACAGGAAGTACCATTGATGTGCTCTGTTGAGAAATGTTCCTCTGTATTGGAGGCTATGCTAAAAGACTGCTTTGTTAGTGCCGATAGCATCGAGCTAACCACCTCTGTCACCGGCTTCATTAGGAAATGCATAGCCAACGTTATTCCCACAGTGACGGTTCACTGCTTCCCCAATCAAAAGGCCAGGATTAACACAGAGGTTGGCGCTAAGCTAAAGGACAGGGCTACCGCACACGGGCTATCACAGCCAACTCTGAGGCCACGGCTGAGGACACAAACAAGTACAAGAAGTCCCGCTATGACCTCCGCAGAGCCATCAAACAAGTAAAAGGACAATATAGGAACAAGTTGGAATCCTGTTACACAGCCTCCGACGCCCAACGCATGTGGCAAGCTCGTCACCAAGCTTGGGAGCCTGGGACTGAACACCTCCCTCTGCAACTGGATCCTGGACTTCCTGACGGGCTGACCCCAGGTGGTGAGGGTAGTCAACATTACCACCACCACGCTGACCCTCAGGGCTAGCAAGCAGCTAGCTAGCATCAGTCAGCGAGGAAGCTACAAACACAAGATAGTTAGCTTAACAGCTAACGTTAACTAGCTTAACAGTTAACGTTAACTACCTTAACAGCCAGTCAATTCACACTGCTCATTGGTTGGCGAATGCCCCTGCTACCTGTCTCTCCCTAACTTGTTGACCGATGTTTTGGCTCACTGCCCCACAATTTACTGCTTGTTTCTACAGCACCAACTTGTGAGTTGGTCATCTCCCGCTCGTATCTTGTATGTGCAGCCAGGATCCATACAGTGAGCAAGTCCTCCGCTTTCTCTCTGTTTGCTGTACTGGTGTGTGACTCAGGTATGTGTTGCTTGTGTGTTTGCCATTTCACTGGCTGTGCTTGTTTCGGGAGGCAGGATGCGGGCTGTATTTGCTAACCCACTGTAGCTCATTGCAAACCTTTTAATAAATTCCTGTCAAGAAGAGAGACACAGAAGCCCAGCTATCCTAGCTAGCCTGTAGTTTCAAATCGTAGCCTGTAGTTTTATATGGTGAGAAACAACTCCGTTCCCGTGTCAAAAAACCCTGTGCTATCCTGGAGCATGAGCACCGGACATAACAAGGCTGCTTCCTATCATTCTACAACAGCTGCCGGGGGCTGACGCTGTTGTAGTCCATGTGGGGTCAAACGAGATTAGGAGGGCTAGCTCGGAACTACTGAAAATGAATTTTAAATAACTGATTCTAGCTCTGAAAGATTCCAAAAAGAAGCCAACTATTTCAGGCCTGGTACCATCGCTGTGAAATATTCTGCAGGCTACTGGCATTACACACTTCGCTAAAAGACTACTTTGACACCTTTTGGAAACAGAAGATGCTCTACAGGAATGACGGAGTCCATACAAATCATCTTGGCTCCTGGTACCTGTCTGCGTATTTCAAGGCTGCGTTGAGACAATGACTTATCAGTGACCCAAGCCCTGCTCAGATAATCCCTACCATTGTGTTGCTGAGTTGTTGTAGTGCTGCTGCAAATGTACATTGTCCCAGGGGCGTTGGCAGTCATTATGTAAGTAACTTAATTTATGTCCCTCTAACTCCCCTAAGTGCCTCTGTCAATCCTACAGCTATTGTATGCAGTAATCATGCGTCTATGAAGTAATCATGTGTCTATGAACCTGAGTTATACTGTTAGCACTCAGGCGGTTTGACCTAGTAGGAAGTCCACTGTGTGCAGCTCACCCTGCACTATCAGCTCAAACATAAATGTCACTGTCATGTCTACCTCTGATGAGCCTCCCAGTAAAGCAATAAAAACAATAAAGTATCCCAGAAAAGTGCTAAAAATAGTTAATATATTAATATATGTGGCCTAAGAAACAAGGTTCATGAAATCGATAACTTGCTAGTAACAGATAACATTCATATACTGACTATCTCTGAAACTTAATTAGATAATTTACTTGATGATACAGTGGTAGAAATTCATGCTTTCAACATCTTCAGAAGAGACAGGAATACCAATGGTGGAGTTGTTGCCGTGTATGTTCAGAGTCATATTCCTGTAAAGCTTAGAGAAGATCTCATGTCAAATGCTATTGAAGTAATATGGCTACAGGTTCACCTGCCTCACCCATTCTTGTGGGAAGCTGCTATAGACCACCAAGTGCTAACAGTCAGTATCTGGATAATATGTGTGAAATGCTTGATAATGTATGTGATATCAAAAGAGAGGTATATTTTCTGGGTAACCTAAATATTGAGTGGCTTTCATCAAGCTTCCCACTCAAGAAAAAGCTCCAGAAAGCAACCAGTGCCCGCAATCTGGTTCAGGTTATCAGTTAACCTACCAGGGTATTTACAAACATCACAGGAATGAAATTATAAACATGTATTGATCACATCTTTACTAATGCTGCGGAAATCTGCTCTAAAGCAGAATCCATTGGATGTGGTGATCATAATATATTAGCCATATCTATGAAAACCAAAGTTCCAAAGGCTGAGCCTAATATAGTGTATAAGAGGTCATACAATAAGTTGTGTAGTGATTCCTATGTTGAAGATGTAAAGAATATTTGCTGGTCTGTGGTGTGTAATGAGGATACACCAGACGCTGCACTTGACACATTTACGAAATGTCTTATTCCATTTACTAATAGGCATGCAGCCATTAAGAAAATGACTGTAAAAATGGTTAAATCCCCATGGATTGATGAGGAATTGAAAAAGTGTATGGTTGAGAGGGATGAGGCAAAAGGAATGGCAAATACAGTGCCTTCGGAAAGTATTCAGACCCCTTGACATTTTCCACATTTTGCTACGTTACAGCCTTATTCTAAAATTGATTAAATAAAAACATTTCCTCAGCAATCTACACACAATACCCCATAATGACAAAGAGAAAAGCACCTTAAATTACATTTTGGGCAAAAAGGAAAACTCGTTCATTGAATCAGATGGCTCATTTATCACAAATCCCACTGATAATACCAACTACTTACATTATTTTTTCATTGGCAAGACTTAGGCATGACATGCAAACAACAAATTATGAAAGACAAGCTTTGTGATTTTGAATTCCGTAAAGTGAGTGTGGAAGAGATGAAAAAATTATTGTTGTCTATCAACAATGACAATCCACCTGGGTCTGACAACTTGGATGGAACATTACTGAGGATGATTGTGAACGATATTGCCACTCTTATTTGCCATAGATCTCTTCGATCTAAGCCTACAGAAAGTGTGTGCCCTCAGGCCTGGGGGGAAGCAAAAGTCATTCCGCTACCCAAGAATAGCAAAGCTCGCAAACAATCATTATATACGGTGCTACTCTGTTTATACACTGAATATACAAACCATTCCATGACATAGACTGACCAGGTGAAACAAGGTGAAAGCCATGATCCTTTATTGATGTCACTTGTTAAATCCACTTCAATCAGTGTAGATGAAGGGGAGGAGGGGAGGAGACTGGTTAACGAAGGATTTTTAAGCCTTGAGACAATTGAGACATGGATTGTGTGTGTGCCATTCAGAGGGTGAATGAGCAAGCCAAAAGATTGAAGTGCCTTTGAATGGGTTTTGGTAGTAGGTGCCAGGCACACACTGGTTTGTGTCAAGAACTGCAACGTTGCTGGGTTTTTCACATTGAACAGTTTCCCTTGTATCAAGAATAGTCCACCACCCAAAGGACATCCAGCCAACTTGACACAACTGTGGGAAGCATTGGAGTCAACATGGGCCAGCATCCCTGTGTAACGCTTCCTACACCTTGTAGAGTCCATGCCTCGACGAATTGAGGCTGTTCTGAGGGCAAAAGGGGGGTGCAACTCAATATTAGGAAGGTGTTCCTAATGTTTGGTATACTCAGTGTATATATCCTGATTCCTAGTCACCTTACCCCTATACAGATCTAACACTACCACTCCAGTATCCCTTCAAATTGTAAATATGGTATTGGTACTGACCCTGGAACTGACCCTGTATGTAGCTTACTTACTTTCTCGTGCTTTTCTTATTTAAATTTTTCGTGTGATTTTGTTCTACTTATAAATATTTAATAGTACAACTGATATTGATTATAGCATTGTTGGGAAAGAGCAAGCAAGAAAGGCATTTCACTGTACTAGTGCACGTGACAATATAACTTAAAACCTGATCTTGTTCTAGCGGCAGCTCTGCATAGTAGTCACTAGCTGGCACAGCCACAAAGTCATAAAATCTGATTTTAAACCTAACTTTAACCTTAACCACACTGCTAACCCTAACCTTAATTTAAGACCAAAAGCACATTTTTGTTAACATGAATTTGTAAAATATAGACAATTTTGACTAATCAGCTGGCCTATCTAAGGGGAAATCGCTCAGTTCTGCTTCCAGGACAAGACTCATGACAATAAACGTCAACCTGCATGGGATTGCAGGAGAGGAAGAGATTTGTGATCCCCTTCAAACCCATCTCACTAAACAAAAGGGTGAGGGTGCACAGAGGAGACAGACAACTGACCTTATGCTTGTTTATTACAAGTTTTGTCTGTTTTAGATCGGAGGCATGAAAGCAGGTACATTTGACATTTACCACTCTCACGCTGCTGACCATTACATTACACAGAGATCAAAATCTGTGACCATGAAAAAGGAGGGAAAGGTATTCCACTCATCTCCTGGACTGAAGAGCACCGCTGTGAAGAGCATCATCAGTGTTAATGTGAACAGGTGACACTCCATTTTGGACATGCATATCCTCTCAGACATAGAATAATAATTGTCTAATTGTAGTATTAGGCTACTATTTTTGACTGTTTTTGTCTTGTTTTTCTGGTCAGTGCACTCTGCAAACTACAGTATGAATATACCATCTGTGATGACATACTAATGTGGAAACTTGCTATCTGAGTACAGTATGTTGTTCAATGTTATGTTGTTCAAATATCAATATATCTTTCACATTTACCTTGACATTTTAAGGGCTCTATTCAATCTGTAAAGCTGAAGTGTTACATATTCCGCAATTAAAGGTCATTTCCGTAACATGCTGACTAGACCACGCATGTTGATTTTGTCCACCCACACCAGACGCGATCAGGACACGCAGGTTGAAATATCAAAATGAACTCTGAACCAACTATATTAATTTGGGGACAGGTCGAAAAGCATTTGTAGTATCTAGACAATTTATGACTTTGCTGACGTTTGCAAATGGTGTGTCAGAGGAAGTTGACTCAGCTTGTGGAAGCATCTGGAGAGCATTTCTATAGGGGCACCCTAAAACAGAGGAAGTCTGTTATGTGGCGTCCTGGGATTGGTCTGTAGGGGAAACCACCCATATCATGTCACAGATTATAAATACTATGGTTGGGACATAGAAGGGTAGTAACAACATATTAAAAGATTGGGCCGGTTGTTCTCCAGATGTCTGCAGAAGTCTGTAAATTGGCGCTGAAATCTTCAATGTAAATAAACTATTATAATCGAGGACGGTGTCAGCGGATTCCTTGTTCTCACAGCATAATTAGCATAATTATTTAGGTACCACAGAATGGAGACGAGGAACTTTGGGACGTGTTGCGTCTCTCCAGCGTTCCATTCATGAGCTATGAAGTGACACTCACTCAAGACGCCGGCACATAAGGTGAGATTTCTCACAATTTTGTGCGCTGGTCAGTTCGTTTGCTTATGTGGGTGTGTGCGCTGGGGAGATTGAAGACTTATGTGTGCACTTTGCTGTTATTTGCTGTGGGATAAGAGTCCGTTCTAAATTTCTAAATTTGTTTGCGCTGGTAACAACACAAACAGGGGGGAGTGTCTATAGGTATTGATAATACAGGACACAGGGATATTTGGAAAATTGAAAAAGAATAGAATGAAGGAATAAGGCCAGGAACTAAGGGAAAATGTATACAAATTAGGACGTTGTTGATCTATGGCAAGACCTCAAACGAGGTGATCATTAGGATGGGCCGAAAATCCTGAAAACTCACTAGGTTGATTTTTGAGGTCAGTTCCAGGGACTGGTGTTTGTGGAAGATACATTCGGTTGCAAGTTACCCCTCGACTTATAGTTGACGAGGTATATGTTCGATGTAACCTCTCATTTGAATATCTGCAAACTCGAGGTAGCATAAATTTGGAAGGAATAATGAAAAATAAGGAACGACGGTAGCATGCTTTAGAGGTCCATAGGAACGGATACAAGCCTCTTGAATTGTGTGTGTGTGTGTGTGTGTGTGGAAGAGAGCCTGAGTGTGTGTGGGAAGAAAAAAAAATATATAATAATAAAATAAAGACGTCTCTGTTGTGTATAAACTGTGTGTCGACTCATGTTAGGATAAGATTTATGTTAGAGATATATACATATATATGTTTTGGTTGAGAACAGGGGTTTTTGTTTTTTGTAAAGAAATATGTAAGTTAAGGTTAAAATCTTATGAGTCTCCGTTGGTGAGAACGTTAATAATTGTTAACTATATATGAACCCCCTGGAAGGACGTTAAGGTTAAAATATTATGAGTCTCTATAAAAAAAGAGAATGTTTAATAACTGTTAGAAAATGATGAGCCTACAGGGAGGAGTTTAAAGAGTGTATAGAGATGTTTTGTAATGGATAAGAAAATAACTATAAATCTGCAGATTAGGATAAGTGAAGTTAAGAAACTTCAAAGTAGGATTTGTGTTCTATGTTTTGTGTTGGTTTGTGAGTTCTGTTAAGTGTTACTGTTTGTCTGTGTTGGGGAAATAACGGAGGGACAGCTGGTCTGTCTACTTTCTGTTGTTTAGCTTGGAGAGAGTTGCTTGGGAGCTCCTTTCACCCTGAAATCGCACTGGTGAATGAACTGCGCATGTGTGGGATTTTATGAGTTTAGAGTTACGTAGAGCAAATATGCCACTCCCCTGCCTGCACTGAGCTGCTGTGACATGCAGACAGAGAAGAAGGGGGAGACTTACACACAAATAAAGTATTCTGTTTGTTAAATCGGCTATTGCTTAACGATGAAACTATTTGATTGAGATCTATCGAATTGATAAATGAGAGATATGTTGACGGATTAAAAATAAATAAAATAAAATGTATTGAGCTATTTATAATATTCCTGAGTTAAGCTGTTTGCTTATTTCTTAGCGCGAATGTGAACAAAGGGTATTGCATGGTTGAAATAACCCAGTGAGTGCATAAAATACTAAATTATTGTCTGTTCCTTTGTTCCTCTGTCATATGAGAGATGAGAAGGAGGAGACAGAGAGGGAGAGGAGGTGCTGACGAGTGCGTCACGCGACAGTGTGGGCTGCAACGGATCCAGTCAAATTAAGGCCAGTACTGTTCTGTTTACAAAACTTACCTTCCCATACAGGATATTTTGTGTGCCTAGCATATTTCATGTTGTGACAATTTGACAGGGACTTGGCAACAGACTGATCAATTGATGTAATTGAGAATTGCATATTGGAGTTTTTTGTGAATGAGTTGGTTTGATTAGAGTTGTGTTGGAAATCCAGCACTGACATTATTCTGTAAAATTAAGGTAATTGGGTGCTTATTAAGCAATTGGTTTGTGAGTGCTGTAGTGTTGCTGGATTACAGGTCTTTCTTTTTTGGGATTGCTCTGAAGTTGACTACTTTCCTTTACTTTTCCTGATCGGATGTGGTAAGATTGCCACTAATTAATAATTTGGTAAAATAAATAAATAAATAAATATATTGATTGATTAATTAATTAATTAATTAATTAAAAAATATATAAGGGAGGGAACCATAAGCTACATAGTCTAAAATAATAAAATAATTCACAATAAAGGAATATAAAATAGTTGTTACAATGGGGAAAAAGCACATCAAAACTATGAAAGTAATTACTCCTGTTGATGTAGTAGAAAATAGTAATCCTCTAGTTTATGGTATTGCAAGGTTATCTGGAAAATGGAATAAACGTTGGCCTGACATTGAACAACCATGGCCAGTGGAAGGGACTCTTAACCCTGACGTCATCAACATAATGAAAGTCCTTGTGTCAATTTATAAGGCAGCTCAAAAGAAGGGAAAAAAAGGGAACAACGTAAAGAAAAGAGACAAAGAGAGCTGGGTGTTCTTAAGCTGTTTGAAAATGAAGGACAAAAACTGATGAAAGATACCAACGATAAAAGAAACAGAGGTATAGAGAAAATGGTAAAAGAGGTGAAAGTGACAGAAAAACTAATGGCAGAAGTCAATACACCTTTCTCACATACGGATTCAGCAAAAAGACCCCCACCTTACGAGAAAGAAGTAGAGTTTAAGGACGTCTATCCTCAGCTTCCAATGATCATTCAGGAGGGTGATTATTGGATCAGAGATGAAGATGAACGAATAATAGAGAGAGGACAAGCAGAAACGACCATTAAGATGAATCCAAACACCAAAAGTAAGAAGAAAACGAGATGTCTGGAAACTAAGGGTGGAGTGAGGTTCAGGAGGATGGAACTTGAAGATGATGATGATCAGAGTGATTCAGAAGAGATCATGGGTGGATATGACCCTGTGATCAGACGTAAGTTGGCCAGAGCGGAAAGAAGGGGTGATGGATGTTTGAAGGAGAAGGATACAAGATATTCGAGTTCTGATGAAAGTAAAGATGAAGACAGCGATAAAGATTTGGAGATTAAAGGTGCTTCATATTCAAGAGGATTTTATCCTACAATGATTAGCACAAAATAAATAGAAAGAGATATAGACCGATGCGTATCATGCTTGGATAAGGCGAATAATTTAGAAGAAGTAAGAGAACTGGAAGAACAACTCAAGAAGCTGAAGATACAGAAGAAAAAACTGCTGAGAAAAGGATCCCAAGAATTGGAGAAGAAGTATACATTGAGGCCAAGGAAAGAGAGCACAAGTAAGAAGATGATGCCAGTGATAATTCGAGGACAGAACCTAGAGTATAAGCCTTTGCAGAATACCGATATGTCAGATATATTTGAGAAGCTGCCTACTCTTCAAGATGGAGCATATCCTTGGATTTCAAAATTGGAAGAAATTACGGTGGGAACACAGTCTGCCATTGGAGATATTAAGATACTTTTGGCTAATCTCCTTGGGATTCCAGATATGGAAGACATTTTTCAGAGAGCTGGACTTGATAGATATGTGGGGACTGCGGTGAATGACCCTGAATTGTTGGCTGCAAGTAGAAATCGGCTGTGGAGAGCACTGAAAGATACGTTTCCAACAAATGTGCATCCTGACAACATTCTGATTGACCCACTAGGACAACAAGAAAATCCGAGAGCCTATGTGTCAAGAGTTCATCAAGTGTGGAGAAATATTACCGGAAATGATCCAGATGTGAGTCAAATTGAGCAGTCAATTTTGAGAGCTAAACTGCAGATGGGACTGCCCTCACCAGTAAGGAGCAAACTGGCAGAGGTGGTTGGACTTGGAAGCATGACAAAAGGTGACTATACAGATCATATAGCCCATCAAGTGGATCTGTACAGGAAAAAGGAACACAACCAGAAAGAACAGGACCAAGAAACTCTCAGAAAACTAAATCAAATACAACTGGTGGAGAATAAGAAGGAGAAGAAACAAGCTTTGGTTATGCAGAATCAGTGTGCACCAAATCAACAGTCACTGCCACAGCTTCAACCGGACCAGTTCCAACCGCAATTGTACCAGCCACCAATAGCGGTACCAGTTGTTTCATATCCACAGCCAGTCTCTGGACAGACACAGAATTGGAGAGGAAGAGGACGAGAAGACTTAGGAAGAGGAAGAGGAGGAAGATTTAAGCCATACTTCCAGCAATCTTCAGAAGTGTGTTATAATTGTGGACAGGTTGGTCACTTTGCTGTGAGTGTAATGGGCAAGGAGGAAACATCAGAGGGAATTTCAGAGGAAGATACAGGGGCCAGTCAAGATCATCTGGAGGACCGGTGAACCCCTATAGGGGCCCGGAGCAAGGATTCTAGGGGTGCCCAGAAGATCCGAAAGGGGGGTGTCAGCTGGTAGCACCAGTTAGGGGAAAAAGATCCTACAATTGAGGTGAAAATAAACAACCGACCATTGGAAGTGATGGCGGATAGCGGAGCTGCTTTTACCTGTGTTCGGCCTGAAGATGCTACACATCTCCCTATGTCCAATCAACTAATTAGGACAATCGGATTTGAGGGAGTGAAACAGCTGATTCCTCTTACAGAACCAATTGAGCTCTGCTATAAAAATCAGAAAATTACAATACCCATACTGGTATCAGAACATACACCTATTGCATTGTTGGGAAGAGATGCATTGTGTTGAACTGTACAATAAAATGTACACCAGACGGCTGTCTGGTAGAAGTGCCAAAGGAAAAGGTTTACCAATTGTTGATGATGACAGAGATGGATTCGTCTTTAGTATTCTGGATTGGAAATCTCAGTGAAGATTTTTTGAAGCAGGCTAAGATATGGGAGATATTTATTGTGGCAAATATGCCAGATGCGAGGCTTCCGGAATATCCATTTCATTGTACGCTCAAGTATTTCAAGAATACTGCCCAATCGAACTCAGAGGAATGGTTGAGTCATCAACCAAAGAAAGTTCAACTCAGCTCATGTTGCATAATTTTAGGACCACAAGGAGCAGCTATGAAGATAAACACAGACGATTATCTGGATAAAGAATTGGAGATTGAGAAGAGTGTGCCACATGTGACCTTGTTGGTTTCTGAAGGCTATGAGCAGAAGCAAATAGGAGAAATGATGACAGAAGCAGAGAAAGCTGTTTTCGTACCGATGAAAGAGAATTTGGGGGATTTGGAGGAGTGAAGATCAGCGATTTCTCAAAATAATGATTTCGGCTCAAGGACAAGGAGAGCCATAAACTGTATGGATGACACATTAATCTATTTGCAGTGTGAAGATGGATTCAGACCCTATGAAAGAGGAGATGTTGCAACAAGTTCCAGAATGTTTGTGGTCTCAAAATAGTACCGATATTGGACTTGTGAAATCAGCCCAATTGAGGTGAAAGTTGAATTTCGACCAGGAGCCAGACCTCCTTGGAAGAATCAGTATCCATTAAAAGATGAAGCAATCCAAGGGATTGAACCACAAATTGAAGGACTTTCAAAAGCAGGTGTTTTGAAGACAATAAAAAAAAAAATCTTTAGAGTAACAATCCATTGTGGTCTTTGGAGAAACCATGAGGGGTTGATAGTAGCGCCTCTAGACCTATTAGGTCTGATGATTCAGGAAGCACATGGGTTAGCTCATGTTGCAAGGGGGGAGGTTAGGAGAAAGATCACAAAGGAGTATGGTTTTTGGGCACAATATTTGCTTGAACAGGTTGACTATGTCATAGGCAGGTGCACAATCTGTCTGAAAAATAATGTTCGCAGGGGTGTGACTGTTATTCTTGGTTACATTCCTACACCAAGAGGTGCATAGGATGTCCAACTAAGCGAATATATGCTCAGTCGTTTGCCAAGTTCTTGTGTAAAGAATAAGCAGGTGGGGACTTCCCGATCAAATATCCTCAAATTAGTGGGAGAGAGTTTTGTGGATAAATCAGTGAAATGGTTTTTGAAAAATTGGGGAGAAAAAGTCAGACTAAAAAAGTTAGGAAAACTAGGATTGAAGTAACTCTAGGACGATCAGCTCAGCTCCAATGTAAGTGCACAAGAGAGAACAGTGGTGAAGGGAAATGTATAGTTCAGTGGGAAGATAGATATGGCAGGAGTTTAGATCTGTTAGGAGCAGTTGCATGGAGAAAGTATGAGTTGCTGAGTGCAGTGTGGGTGCAATGATTGAATAACATGTATGTGTACATTTATTTTGCAACCCTCGTGCACGTAATGCTTGACCAGCACTGAATAATTGACGAGTCTCCATGGAAACTCCTAACACATAGACAACCTGCTCCTATTGAACCTCATGCAATGTCCGCATTATTGACGGCTAAAAGGCAAGCTTTGAAATTCTGATTTGCTTTTTGTTGACTCCTTCAACTTTTACAGTGTAGTTTAATGCCTACTAATTAAATACAGACTATCTTCAGCATCAATACCATGTGGTGGCAATGATAGATAAAATGACACCAATTGTAAAATAAAATTGAGAATGATAGCATATTCAGAAAACCTGCCTTTAAATCACAAGACACAGTTGGCTTTCACAAGGCATAACAAAAATGTTCCTTTAAAAAAATATAAATTGTTGTATTTTGGGCAGCGGCTTGGCAAATTCCCAATCACATATTAATGTCCACAGGTATTGATATGTCCTGTTCAGTTCTGGGGGGTACTGTTAAGTTGATAAATGCCACTGTAGTATGACTTACCCACTGTGCAGCTTGTGGAACCATATTGTATATCATGTATTTTGTCCTGAAATATTCTGTATAAGAAGGGAAGTGGTAAGTTACAGTTCTTGTTCCAGTTGGACAGGTCAGTATATGTCATTGTCCATGGGTCTCAAACGGTGATGACATCATGGCCCTACGGAGGTATCGTACGGGCGCAGGCGTGGGTCCCGCAGTACAGCTGCCCCTCCACAAAGAAGTAGCCCCTCTGCTTCAGGTGCACGTTGCAGTCGGAGCACACAAAGCATCGGGGGTGGCAAAACTTACCACTGTGCCTCTGCAGGGGAGAAGAGAGAGAAGACTGTCTTACTTTGCCTAATCTCGTTTACCAGACACTTCCTCCCAATGCTCTGAATTATTGTTATTATGTGTCTTACACAATTAGCCTAGGGAGGAGGATATATGAGGTTGTAGATCTAACCATACCCCACTTAGACCTTGGTCTTATGCAACAGCAGATGTGCTCCACCACATCAAAAGTATCTAAGAGGCAGGTATATCCTCTTACTCAACCCTTTCATGTACATCTTACTTTCATCCCCCAAAACCAAAAGAGGAGAGGACAGATCTGTCATCTTGTGTTTCCTCACCGCAAAAACGTACCTTCCATGGTTTCGCATTACCTCCCTGTTCACATGTGTATAATTTAGTGGAGGTACTTAGTGGTTTATGAATACATTCTTTATGGTTTAGTCATTATTGGTTCATGAAGAGGTTAGGATCAGACGGGTCATTGGGAGAGGGCAGCCCCATGGCACTCCAGTACCTTATTTTCTATCAGTCAGGCTGGGTAGTGGGTACTCATACTATGCCGTTTCCACTCATGTCACAGAGGGGTCGTGTCTGTAGCGATCCCGCCAGAAGAGGAAGCTTTGTCACTGGAGCTCTTACACTCCTAGTAATCAGCGGCTTTACTCATATTAATGCACAAAACATTGGTTTACTGCTGTGTGAAAGGCTCCATCCCTGTTACGTATAATCTGTTACTACCCAACCCTGCTCATTCTTTCATAAATAAATAATTACTTAAACGTGTACATTGTCATTAAGTCCCCCTCAATTCGTCGGGGCATGGACTCTATAAGGTGTCGAAAGCGTTCCACAGGGATACTGGCCCATGTTGACTCCAATTCTTCCCACAGTTGTCAAGTTGGCTGGATGTCCTTTGGGTGTTGAACCATTATCGATACACATGGGAAAAACCCAGCAGCACTGCAGTTATTGACACAAACCGGTGTGCCTGGCACATACTACCATACCCTGTTCAAAGGCACTTACATTTGTTGGCTTGCTCATTCACCCTCCGAATGGCACACATACACAATCCATGTCTCAATTGTCTCAAGGCTTAAAAAACCTTCCTTAACCTGTCTCCTCCCCTTCATCTACACTGATTGAGGTGGATTTAACAAGTGACATCAATAAGGGATCATAGCTTTCACCTGGATACACCTGGTCTGTCATGTAAAGAGCAGGTGTTCTTAATGTTTTGTACACTCAGTGTATACTGTATGCTTGGATTTTGCTCACCACCAGTCTCCACGTGTTCCTGCAGAGCCTTAAAGGAGCCTGACTGACGTGGTTCATGTGGCCTCTCTTGGTCATCCTGGAGCATCCGGTACACATGAGACTCCTCGATGGAGGACAGTGTTTTAACACTAGGGAGGGAGAGGAGACAGGACTTTTACCATATGGTACCTTTTTCTGGATATCCTCTGGCATTCACTGTAATGTTATTTGCTTGAAATGTGAGCAGAGGTGGTTCCATTTGTAACTAAGTGATAGCAAACACACACACTCCTATGATTACCTTACAGGGACCAGTTCCTCTAGTGAGGCGATCTGAGCCAGCTGCTGAGCGGCTGAGACGTTTGCCGCAGAGTACAGGTTAATGGGAAAGTTATACTGAGCACTGGGAGCCAGGGGTTGGTCTAGGCCGAAGTTAGCAGACAGGGGAGGGGGAGAGGGTGACCACCATCTGATGGCCATTTCCCATTAGGTCATGCGGAGGAGGGCACTCGCTGAGGGTGGTAGTCAGTGATGGCAAAGCCAGAGGTAGTGCAAGGAAAAGGTCAGAAGGAACAGATTTGCCCACAAAGAAGAGACGAAACAACACAGGAAAGAGACAGGAAAGAATGGAAAAGATGAAAGATGAGGATTGTTTTAGAGATATAGCAGCTAAAGTGGGATCCTAATTTATTGACACCCTTGATAAAGATGAGCAAAAATTACTGAATAAAATAAATGTGCTCTATTTTCATGTCATCCAACAAATGTGAACGCCTGGAGTTTGCTAAATTGGATTAGAACCGGTGCTTTGTTCAGATGACATGTAAATAGAGCTCTTTGGCCACGCACACCAGTGGTGGGTTTGGCGTTGAAATGAGAATGCATGAACAGAAAATAACCCCATCCCTACTATAACATATAGTGGTGGAGCTTTGATGTAATGGGGCTATTTTGTTTCCACTGGTCCTAGGGCCCTTGTTAAGGTCAACGGCATCATGAACTTTACCCGGTACCAGGACATTTTAGGAAAAAACCTGGTTGCCTCTGCTAGGAGGCTGAACCTTGGTCGCAAGTGGTTCTTACAGCAAGACAATAATCCCAAGCACACATAAAAACCCACAAAGAAATTGATAATTGGCCATAAAATCAACATTTCAACAAGTCTCTGGACAATCAACAAGTCTCCGGACTTGTAACCACAGATGAAGGATATAAAGGATCTGGAAGGATTCTGTATGGAGGAATGGTCTAAGATCCCTCCCAATGTGTTCTCCAACTCATAAAACATTTTAGAAAGGGCTCAGTGCCGTTATCCTCGCAAGGTGAGGTATTGAAAACAGGGGAGTAAATAATTTTGACCAAAATACATTACTTGTTGAACAAAAGCTCTTTCTCTGAGCAATTGCATTAGTATAAAATAATATCATTTCCAAATTTTCTTGCATACAATATAGCTCAGTATTTCAATAATGTATTTTATACAGTAATTTTTGCTCATCTTTCTCAAAGGTGTCAATAATTTCAGACCCCACTGTATATTGAAATATTGCCCCCAAAATGTAAAGGTAAGGATAAGATAATTTACTCTATGACTGAATAATACTGCATCAGTAGGGATATTTTGAAAGTAGTGACCTGCTTTGGCCTGCAGGTATGAAGGGCTATTTTAGCTGTTCAGTAGTCTTATGGCTTGGGGGTAGAAGCTGTTAAGAAGCCTTTTGGACCTACATTTGGCGCTCCGGTACTGCTTGCCGTGCGGTAGCAGAGAGAACAGTCTATGACTAGGGTGGCTGGAGTCTTTGACAATTTTTAGGGCCTTCCTCTGACTTGGGGTGACCACTACTTGGTCTCAGGCCTGCAATATATATATATATAGAGAGAGAGAGATTCCATGGTCAGTCAAGCCACGATATAAAGCAGCCTTCCTTCCTGCCATGAAATAATAAATACAGATCAAACATCAGCCAGAGAGCAGGCTGCTTAGCATTTTGGCCCGACCATGACCTTGCTGCGATCGTAATTCACATCATCAGTTCAAGCATCTCTGACCCCACTCGACTCTCTCATACTGTAGAGTTTCATTAGGTTATGAATCAAAGAGATGGAATGCAGCACTGGCCTCTTGACTGAGCGCTGTGCACAAGGCAAACGCATGGAAACCATTCATAAAGGCCTAAAAAGCTCACTATAGCTCAGCCACTGACAGACCGTCTTTCCTACTACTTTTTATATTCTGTTAGGTTGACCATAGCTTGAAAGAAAGACAAATGAATAACTGCTAGATTTCTTAAGGTGTGTATCTACAGTGGGGGAAAAAAGTATTTAGTCAGCCACCAATTGTGCAAGTTCTCCCACTTAAAAAGATGAGAGAGGCCTGTAATCTTCATCATAGGTACACGTCAACTATGACAGACAAATTGAACCAGGACGACTGATCCGTGTAAAGGAATGAATGATTGGGGCGATTTTGAGTGAAAACCTCCTTCCATCAGCAAGGGCATTGAAGATGAAACGTGGCTGGGCAACGAAGGAGTGGCTTTGTAAGAAGCATTTCAAGGTCCTGGAGTGGCCTAGCCAGTCTCCAGATCTCAACCCCATAGAAAATCTTTGGAGGGAGTTGAAAGTCCGTGTTGCCCAGCGACAGCCCCAAAACATCACTGCTCTAGAGGATATCTGCATGGAGGAATGGGCCAAAATACCAGCAACAGTGTGTGAAAACCTTGTGAAGACTTACAGAAAACATTTGATCTGTGTCATTGCCAACAAAGGGTATATAACAAAGTATTGAGAAACTTTTGTTATTGACCAAATACTTATTTTCCACCATAATTTGCAAATAAATTCATTAAAAATCCTACAATGTGATTTTCTGGAAAAAAAATTAGTTGACGTGTACCTATGATGAAAATTACAGGCCTCTCTCATCTTTTTAAGTGGGAGAACTTGCACAATTGGTGGCTGACTAAATACTTTTTTCCCCCACTGTATCTTTTATTTTTTTGTTGGTAGATCAGCTTAAATATTGCAGATAGATTGTTGCTTCCATCAATGTAACTGTCTGCATCATTTCCAATCCCCCATATATATTTTTTGAATATATATATATTTTATTTATATTTTCCTTTATTATTTTCCCCTAAACCTACCACACCTACCCTAATTGCAGTAAACTAATGGACAACAACACTTAGGCTTCTACTTCCAGCTCATACATACTATATACATTTTACGGACACAGTATATTTTACGTTATTTATCTTTTGTTTGATTTTACTCCCATCCTTCAGCTACCCTCAACCCCTCCCATCTATCTCTGAAGACCATCCTGTTTTTATTTCTATTTGCCATATATTTTTCAACTGTGCTGTTTCGAAAAAGTTCTGAACCTACAGTATATACATTTTACGGACACAGTATATTTTACATTAGTTATCTTGTTATTTTTAATCCCACCCTTCAGCTCCACTCAACCCCTCCTATCTATGTCTGAACACCATCCAGTTTTTATTTGCCATATATTTTTCAACTGTGCTGTGATGTTTCACACAAGTTCTGAACCTTTCTATTCTCATAGTTTCTAAAGATTGTAAATTAAAGATAAACATTTTTGCAAAGAGTTGATCGATTGACTATGACTTTTCAAATCACCCAGCAGTGCTATTTGAAGAGTTAGCTCCAGACAATTCTTCAGCCATTCCTGATCCTGCGACCAAAAACAAGCTACATATGGACAGTACCAAAACAAATGATCCAATGATTCTATCTCTTCTAAGCAAAATCTGCAGAGTTGGGATGGTTGTATTCCACATATATATAACATTCTATTGGTTGCAATTTTTTTAAATAATAATTTAAATTGAAAAACTCTCGTTTTGAATCCGGTGTTGGTTTGCGTATCAGTTCATAAACCATGTGCCATGGAATCGGTATATCGAAAAGCTCTTCCCAACTATTTTGCAATCTATATGGCACAACTGTAAATTTTTTGGTCCTTAAATTAAACTGGTATACTTTTTTATTTATTCAACATTTTCTTTAACCAATTTTGGTATTTAATTTAGGGCCGACCGACAAGTTCCTTACTTTCTCCCCCTTCCACTGGCCTCTTCCATTTTTGCGGTAATGCTGCAATTAGTTGGTTATAATTTTGAGTAGAGCAGACATTTCCATATATTTTTTTTAGCTGCATGTGTGACATAACTCCACCAGTCCTATTTATGAAATAATTTACAAAGATTATACCATAAAAAATATTTATTTTGTAATATTTGTTCTGTCTTTTCTGGTGGATTAAACTGAAATTGCAACCAACTTTCTATGACTTCTTGTAAAAATAGCGATATTTTTTAGATTATTTCATTTTCAAATAACCGAAAGTGAGAGGCTGTAATCTGAGTAAAGGGAAAAAAGGCCATTCTTGAACATGGGGTGAGACAGTCTTACTAATCTGCTAGAGAACCAGTTCAGATTTAAGTATACCTTTTGTATGACTGAAGCCTTTAGTGAGAGGTCTAATGCTTTAATATTTAATAAATTCTGCCCTCCGAATTCATATTCATTAAATAAATAGGCCCGTTTAATTTTGTCTGGCTTACCATTCCAACTAAAATGGAATATTTTTTGCTCATATAATTAAAAAAACATGTCGCTAGGTGTAGGCAAGGCCATAAGCAAATAGGTGAACTGGGATATGACTAAAGAGTTAACCAGGGTGAATTTTACACATATAGACAGGTATTTACCTTTCCATGGTAGCAAGATCTTATCTATATTTTCTAACTTTCTATTAAAATGTATTGTAGTGAGATCATATCTTTCTTTCGGGATATGAATACCGAGTATGTCCACTTCACCGTCAGACCATTTTATTGGTAAACTCCACGGTAATGTAAAAGTTGTATATTTTAGTGATCCAATATGTAATACAGTAAGTACATTTGTCATAATTTGGTTGTAATCCAGAGAGGTTAGAAAAATGCTCTAGTCCCTCTATGAGGCTTTAGAGGGATCCAAATTGTGGATTTAAAAGAAAACATGAATCATCAGCATATAATGACACCTTTGTTTTTAAACCCTGGATTTCTAGCCCCTTGACATTATTGTTGGATCTGATTTTAATAGCTAACATTTCGATGGCCATAATAAATAAATATGCCGATAGTGGACAACCTTGTTTTACTCCTCTTGACAGTTTAATACACCCCTTCAAATTAGTGGATTCGGTTATGTCAGCCACACCCGTTTGCTGACAGGTGTATATAATCGACCACACAGCCATGCAATCTCCATAGACAAACATTGGCAGTAGAATGGCCCGTACTGAAGAGCTCAGTGACTTTCAACTTGGCATCGTCACATACTTTTGGCCATGTAGTGTAACTTGCAGAGATACAATTTGGAGACCCAAGCTATAGGCTTCTTAAGCCATGTGCAAATGATAGTAGGCTATGGCGCCAAACTTCCCGAGTTGATTTATGATTTCTAGAATGTTTTAATTAAATGCCCAGACTTTTCACAGTTTTTTCTTTACAATTTGTATCGTGTTAAATATTTGCCACTATAGGTAGACACCGTCAGTTACACCCACATACATTTATAACTGTCACTTTATTTACATTCTGTGTGGGTGATGTGTCCATCACTGTGTGGTGTAAGACTACAGTACAGGGGATAGGGTTCTACACTATTGACAGCCTGCTGATCTAACTGCTGTGGCATCCACTCGGCCTCCAAGCCTAGAACCCCCCCTCTCTTTCTCTCTCTCTCTCTCTCTCTCTCTGACATCATCCCTCACTCCTCTCCTCCCTGGCCAGTGTCATTCCAGGTTCTTATCTCAACACTTCACCTTGAAGGTACCTCTCCACCTGCCCACACGTCCTTCTCACCGCCCCCTCCTCTCAATCCTTTTCCTCCCCTGTTTCTCTGTTGAAAAGGCAGATTAATGCAGACTGAGGTAATCTATCTGGCTATTTATGGTTGGATGATACATTTAGGCTCTGTTACGTTACGCGCTGCCTGTATCATATATCTTCCAAGAAGCAAACAACTCGATAACAGCTGGCCCCTTTACAGTATGTTCCTGTTTCATATTACTCCTAAATTGAACGTGTAGTACAAGTCCCAACTGCAATAACCTGTATGATATTAGTAGCCCTGTGTCCCCCGTATCAGGTCACACAAGGCAGATTGCTGTCTGCTTGTGGTTTCTATAGCCAACGTTTATACCTGATTCTAACACGCAAACCTTTGTCCTGATCTTGTCCACATTCTGATTGTGCCCTCATTTCTAGACAGGGTTAGGTGATTGAAAGACGCATTGTGATCTGATTGTGATCAAGTCAGGACAAGATCAGGACGATTAGGGTCAGGTATAAACCAGGCTTAACAGACATTTGGTATTACTGAGTGAGAATCAATCAGAGATGATTGCTGAGGGAATGGCTCCCACTGGATTTTAAACGGGCACAATGAATGCAGATCAGATTGTTCCCATGGAACCACTCTGGCAGGCACATGGTGATGCGTTAATGTGTTGTTTTGAATGGAAGAGCAAAGCTAGTCTGTGTCTTGGAACTCAGTGCCTCTTTACACCTCTCACACAGAGGAACGGCCATGACAGGACAGGGAAATAAGAGCCACGCGGGACTGGAGGGGCTTACAATACCTCAGCCACACACTCAATCTCAGTTACACACTAATACACGTACTCATAAATCACATAAACACTCATACTATTCAAATCGATACACATAGGGCCCGATTCAGATTTCAGTCAGATTTCAGATAAGTAGACTTAACAATAAAACATGGGCTTAAGTTAAAAAAAATGTAAACGTATCTCAAGTCTAAATAGTGCCTATACAGAACACAAACAGTAATACCAGTCATAAGCACACATTGTTACAACAGAAAAGCAGACATGCATACAGGGAGTACAAACAGAAGCAGACTATATGCAGTTTTATCACATACTGGAACACCTGTTTCCTGCTTAGACATAGGCATCAGTAATGGCTTTGAGAACGGTGTGAAAAGATAAACATGATGACAAATAGACCCAGAGGCACCTCTCAGAGAAAATTACTATACAAGTGAGGACATGCTACCCACATGAATATACCGCTACCAGCCAATTCCCAGCACCTTATGACCAATCCTTTTCAGACAGATGGGGCTCATATTATGACACTTAAAGTGGAACTGACAGCGTTTTAACTACTTTGCAGATATGAAACAAACAGAATCATAGTATCAGTCAAAAATATACAATTCCCAGTTTATGCTACAAAACCAACTTCATAAGAGGTTTTCAAAATAGGTTCTATTTGACTCAACATTCCATGACGTACACTAAGGCATTGTTGGCAGAATAGATGGATGCAGTTCAATGCATGATTAATATAATTCACCAATACATTTCTTAGTTGTCCAAAAAATATTGCTATCAGATTTTAAATCACAGCTGGCCTGGTACATTGGAGGATGTCATGTTATGTCATTGGAGGAGTGGGTGAGTCAATAGCTGCGACGTCATCTCTCAGGTGAGTGATTTACTTTTTCCCCTCATATTGTTTTTCGTTGGCAATACACAGCTAGCGATGCAGGTGTCATTTGGTTAGCTAGCAAGATCTTGAACGACTATTATCCAGTTAGTATATCTCTTGCGTTTGCAAATTCACTCTGGCTATCTACTATGATTTCGGAGCACTATTGTCTGAGTGTGCCAGAGCGTAGAATAACTGATGAATTTACGAACGCGCAACACCGGCTGAATATGACCGGTGTCAGTAAACGTAGGCAAAAAAAGTAATAGTTAGTCACGAACGCTCTAGATAACATGTAAACAGCCTAACTAACCAGCTCTAATAGGGCGAGTAAAATGGTTAGAGTGAGGTGTTCTGTCATTTGTGTCTGGAAGTAGCTAGCTAGCTAGCAAGCTAGCCAACTTTAGCCACTTAGCTTGGGTGCTTGGTTGCAGGCAAGCTGCAGAAGGATGAGTAGTCTGCAATTCCCCATCATTTATCAGTGCAATTTTGACGGCCAACTAGCTGAAAGGGTTTAAGAGGGTTTATGTAATGTTCCTTCATTAGATTTGAGCTCATCTTGCTCTGGCTAGCATTATTTTAGTGTATTTTGTGGCTTTTGGCGAATGCGTTTTAATGATCTAAAGTTGTGCTGTTGCAACTGCCTGTAAACACACAGTATAGTTCAAAGTTAATGATAGTAGGCCTGTGTGGCAAATGGCTTGTTTGAATAAAGGCCTACTGTAGCTCTGGTTGGCTATGGTGCACCTGTTCTGTGTAGACTCCGGTGCTGATAGAAAGATGTTTTTATTAGGTTTTATTTACTGCAGTGTCTATTAATTGTCCAAACGCATGGCCGCTTTCCCACTCTATATTGCTATAGAATTTTCACAAATGCCTTGGTATATGTAATTCCCAAACGTTCTAAGAATTTATGAAAATGACCATAACTAAGTGCTCGCTTGTCAGAAAATGTTTTAAAAAGTGTAATATTCTTCCTGGAGTTCCTGAGGTGTATATGAACACATTTTATTTAGATTTAATGTTGCTAAAATGCTGTCAGTTCCTCTTCAAGCCCTGTTTATACCTGCCGTTAACATGTGTCCTTCGTCCTGATCTTGTCTTTTTACACATAAGATCTAATCACAATCAGATCACAATGCGTCTTTTAAACGTCTACACTTGTCTAAAAATGTGGGCATAATCAGAATGTGGACAAAATCAGGACAAAGGATGCATGTTAGAACCAGGTATAACAGGGCTTCATAGTGTATCCCAAATGACACCATATTCCCTATATAGTGCACTACTTTTGAACAGAACCCTATCGGCCCTGGTCAAAAGTAGTGCACTATTAAATTAATAGGGTGACATTTGGGACACAGCCCAACAGTATATAACCATGGTCTTCCGTTGCTTATCAGTTATTTTAGTATCAGCAATATACCAAATATGTACATTGTAGGGTTGTTGATTATAATATAGTTACAGCTGGGATTTGAGCAGTAACAACATTGTAACCTTAAGAATGTTCTTGTTGGTTGATGTAACAAACCTAATCAGCAGAGAAAACAATTAGGCATCATTGAAACATCCATGGTTAAAGGAACACTCCACCCCAAAACTATCTTTTGGTATTTGTTTCATTAGTCCATTGTTGATATAGTCCCAAAATGTTTTCAAGATACATAACTTTCAAAATACAGAAATATAGACGGTATAATGCATTGCATTATATGATGAAAAATGCATCATACTGGTTGTATTTCTGTATTTAGAAAGTTATATATCTTGGAAACTTGATTGCTGTCATGCAAACATTTTGGGACTAATGAAACAAATACCAAAAGATAGTTTTGGGGTTAAATTGTTTTTTAACATAAGACACATTTGGCCTCAGTTGTAGATCACTATTGTATTTCCAGACCAGTACTATGCCATGGATATGCTTTCTGCTTGGTGTTGATCTTAATGAGAATTTAGGTTCTGGTCTTTAGAGGCTGGTTTTACTGACAGGCAGCCCAATTCTGATCTTTTTCCCACTAATTGGTCTTTGACCAATCACATCAGATATTTTCACCTCAGATATTTTTCAGAACTGATCTGATTAGTCAAAAGACCAATTAATGAAACAAATTATTGCGCTGCCTGTGTAAAAGCAGCCAGTGATGGTTAGCAGGAGCCTGTGTCATTATGGGTAATTTGGACGTTAAATGTCATATCTGTCTCTGACTCTGGACCACTCTTCTTTCCCATAGTTCCTGTTAAAGATAGCCAGCTAATTATTATTCAAAACCTCCAAGAAGTAGCATTGCAACACAATAGTAATAAGGACATTAACATTTGACCAAATTACTCTGGGTTACAATGCTGAGTTACATTATATACTATAATGACACAGGATGAGACCCAGATGCAGACACAGGAGGCGGATGGTTCGGTTCTCCGAATATTTATTAACAAAGGGGCAGGCAAAAAAAGGCCAGGTCGAGGGCAGGCAGAGGTTCGTAATCCAAGGCAAAGTAAAAAAGGGACGGAAACAGGAGACAAAGGGCTGTGAGACAGAGGTTTAATCTTAGACACATGGAAAGTGGGATGCATACAGAGGGTGCGGGGCAACAGAAGACAAACAGCAGTGGGTGGTGGGGGTTGGCAGAGACGAGGCAACGAAGAGTCGTCTCCAGGTCCTGATTGGCACGCTCCGACTGGCCGTTATATTGGGGATGAAACCCGGAGGACAAGCTGGCCGATGACCCAATCAGGGTGCAGAATGCCTTCCAGAACCTGGACGAGAACTGAGGACCACGATCGGAGAGCGTGTCAACCAGAAGTCCATGGATCCGGAAGACGTGCTGCACTATAAGCTGGGGCGTCTCCTTGGCTGAGGGCAACTTGGGAAGGGGAATGAAATGTGCAGCTTTGGAAAACCTATCCACAACCGTAAGGATGGTGGTGTTGCCATATGACGGGGGGAGACCAGTGACAAAGTCCAGGGATATATGGGACCAGGGGCGGTGAGGAACAGGGAGTGGTTGAAGAAGGCCAGCCGGAGCTTGCCGCTGAGTCTTGTTCTGTGCGCACACAGTGCAGGCAGCGACGAATGCGGAGGCGTCAGGAACCATGGTGGGCCACCAAAAAGATTGTCGGATGAAATCCAGGGTTTGGGATGACAGGTAAGTTTAGCGGAATGAGCCCATTCCAGGACCGGGGACCGGGCCGAATCAGGGACGAACATCCGGTTTGGCGGCCCCCCCTGGGGTGCGCCTTGCAGACCAGGCTCTCGATACCCCAGACAAGTGTAGCTGCAAGACAGGAGGTAGGGAGGATGGTCTCTGGGTCAGAGGGTGTAGCCGTAGAACTATACAGGCGAGAGAGGGCATCAGGCTTAAGATTCTTGGACCCAGGGTGGTAGGATATGGTAAAATGGAACAGAGTGAATAACAGAGCCCAACGAGCCTGCCTTGGGTTGAGGCGTTTGGCGGTGCGAAGATATTCTAGATTCTTATGGTCATTCCACACTAAGAATGGGTGTTCTGTCCCTTCAAGCCAGTGCCTCCACTCCTCCAGGGCCATCTTGACCGCAAGAAGTTCCTGATTACCAACGTCATAGTTCCTATCAGCGGGATTAAGGCAATGGGACAGGAAAGCGCAGGGATGCAACTTTTGGTCCTGGGCAGAACGTTGGGACAGAACAGCCCCCACTCCAACGTCCGAGGCATCGACTCCACCACGAACTGACGGGATGGGTCCGGATGGATTAGGATGGGGGCAGTGGTGAAACGATTCTTAAGATCCAAAAACGCCCGGTCAGCCGCTGGGGACCACATGAACGGAACCTTGGGAGAGATGAGTGCAGAGAGGGTGGAAGCCAGGGTGCTGAAGCCCCAAATGAAGCGGTGGTAGAAATGTGCAAATCCCAGGATACGTTGCAGCTGCACTCTGGATGTGGGTTGGGGCCAATCCACCACCACTCCCACCTTGTCAGGATCCATCTGAATGTTCCCTGCAGCGATGACGTATCCCAAAAAGGAGATAGTGGAGTGATGGAATTCACATTTCTCCGCTTTGACAAACAGCTGGTTCTCCAGGAGGCGCTGGAGGACTTGACGGACGTGGAGGACATGCTCTTGTGCCGAACGGGAAAAGATAAGGATGTTGTCGAGGTAGACGAACACAAACCAGTTTAACATGTCACGGAGCACATCGTTAAACAGTGCCTAGAACACTGTGGGAGCATTGGTCAGTCCGAACGGCATAACCAGGTACACGTAGTGTCCGCTAGCCGTGTTGAAGTCTGTCTTCTACTCGTCTCCTTCCCGTATCCGAACTAGGTGGTAGCCGTTCCAAAGGTCCAACTTCGAAAAGTTACTGTGATGTCATTGAGGCCCCGGTAGTCGATACACGGGAGCAGGGTTTTGTCCTTTTTTTCCACAAAGAAGAACCCTGCGCCGGCAGGGGAGGCAGAAGGATGAATGCTCCCTGCAGCCAGAGAGTCCTTAATGTACTCCTCCATGGCCTTGGTCTCTGGGCCAGACAGGGAATAAAGCCGCCCCCAACGCGGTGTGGTGCCTGGGAGGAGATCAATAGCGCAATCGTAGGGACGTACTGTGAGTGACCCTGCCAATGGAGTGTCCGTCCAATGCTCTGGTGTCCATGGGAATAGAGAGGAGGTGTGTGGAGATACCCAGCTCAGATACCAGGTTAGCGTCCATGAAGCTCTCATCAGCCCCAGAGTCAATGAGCACCCGGAGAGATTTAGACCGGTCATCCCACATCAGGATAGCATGGAGAGGAGTATGAGTAATGGGGGTTTGGAGTACTCGTACCTACAGATGAGCCTGGTCTTTTACTGGACAGGTGGATATATAATGTCCTGTAGTACCACAATACAGGCAACTGTTGGAGCTCAGCCTGCACAAACGTTCATTAGGAGACAATCTAGCCCTGCCCAGCTGCATGGGCTCTGGAGGAGAAGAGTCGCTAGTCCCCGATGATGCCCGAGGGAACTCGGGTGACTTTGGATTCTCACGGGAATGCAGGCATTGGGGACTTCTGGGGTTCTTCGGAGGCGAGGGAGAAACCGTGGACGAGCGAGTGTGGCCAAAACAGACCTCCTATTCCTCATGCGTTCCCGCAGGCACCCATTGATCCTCATGGTCAAGGCTATGAGGGAGTCGAGATCCATGGGTAACTCCCGAGCTGCGAGCTCGTATTTAATTTCCTCCGATAATCCATGACTCAACCAGGGACTCCAGGTTCCAGTCACTCTCGGTGGCCAACATGCGAAAGTCTACCGCGTAGTCTGCCACACTACGGAAGTCTTGACGTAGTTGAAGTAGCTTCCGAGCCGCCTCTCTCCCTGGTCATGGCGTTCCGCCAAGGTATGGAGTCCTTCCATAAGGTTCTGAAGTAGCTCCTTGTGTCTTACAATGGTGGCTCCTTGCAGGCAGACAGCGTTGTGGAGCTGGTCCGAGTCTGCTGGGTCACTCATGGCCAGGTCGTACTATAACGACACAGGACGAGACCCAGATGCAGACACAAGAGGCGGATGGTTCAATTCTCCGAATATTTATTAACAAAGGGGCAGGCAAAAGAGCAGGTCGAGGACAGGCAGAGGTTCATAATCCAAGGCAGAGTAAAAAAGGGACAGAGCGGCAGGCAAGCTCAGGGTCAGGGCAGGCAGAAAGGTTGGAACCGGGAAGACTAGAAAACAAGAACTAGAGAACTGGAGAAACAGGAAACATGCTGGTAAGACCTGACAAAACAAGACGAACTGGCAACAGACAGACAGAAAACGCAGGTACAGTTGAAGTCAGAAGTTTACATACACCTTAGCCAAACACATTTAAACTCAGTTTTTCACAATTCCTGACATTTAATCCTAGTAAAAAGTCAGTTAGGATCACCACTTTATTTTAAGAATGTGAAATGTCAGAATAATAGTAGCGAGAATTATTTCTTTCAGGTTTTATTTATTTCATCACATTCCCAGTGGGTCAGAAGTTTTCATACACTCAATTAGTATTTGGTAGCTGATATAGAAATTAAAATATATACAGGTTAAAAGTAATGACTAAATGTTCCACCCTTAAATATAGTTGTGAAATGTTCTTGTTTTAAGTATGATTAGTACTTTCTTAGTAGTGACTAATTATCACACTCCGAAACTGTGTGAGATGTGTTAGAATCTACTACCTGGTAATGTGTGAGTGTAGGATCAGTAAAGATTATGACATTGTGTTATTATTTAGCAATGTGAGTAGGAGTTAGACCGGACGGCGAAGAAGAAGGAGAACTGTTAAACATGGTGCAGAATATTGTGAGAACGGCGATAACTGAGGAATTTAGGGAGGAAAGAGACTATGATAAGAAAATGTATGTGTGTATATGTGTATATGTGTGTGTATATGTGTGTGTATGTATGTGTGTGTGTGTGTGTGTATGTACAGTGGGGAGAACAAGTATTTGATACACATTGTATGATTTTTAAGTAATTAATTTGCATTTTATTGCATGACATAAGTATTTGATCACCTACCAACCAGTAAAAATTCCGGCTCTCACAGACCTGTTAGTTTTTCTTTAAGAAGCCCTCCTGTTCTCCACTCATTACCTGTATTAACTGCACCTGTTTTAACTCGTTACCTGTATAAAAGACACCTGTCCACACACTCAATCAAACAGACTCCAACCTCTCCACAATGGCCAAGACCAGAGAGCTGTGTAAGGACATCAGGGATAAAATTGTAGACCTGCACAAGGCTGGGATGGGCTACAGGACAATAGGCAAGCAGCTTGGTGAGAAGGCAACAACTGTTGCCGCAATTATTAGAAAATGGAAGAAGTTCAAGATGACGGTCAATCACCCTCGGTCTGGGGCTCCATGCAAGATCTCACCTCGTGGGGCATCAATGATCGTGAGGAAGGTGAGGGATCAGCCCAGAACTACACGGCAGGACCTGGTCAATGACCTGAAGAGAGCTGGGACCACAGTCTCAAAGAAAACCATTAGTAACACACTATGCCGTCATGGATTAAAATCCTGCAGCGCACGCAAGGTCCCCCTGCTCAAGCCAGCGCATGTCCAGGCCCGTCAATGACCATCTGGATGATCCAGAGGAGGAATGGGAGAAGGTCATGTGGTCTGATGAGACAAAAATATAGCTTTTTGGTCTAAAATCCACTCGCCGTGTTTGGAGGAAGAAGAAGGATGAGTACAACCCCAAGAACACCATCCCAACCGTGAAGCATGGAGGTGGAAACATCATTCTTTGGGGATGCTTTTCTGCAAAGGGGACAGGACGACTGCACCGTATTGAGGGGAGGATGGATGGGGCCATGTATCGCGAGATCTTGGCCAACAACCTCCTTCCCTGAGTAAGAGCATTGAAGATGGGTCGTGGCTGGGTCTTCCAGCATGACAACGACCTGAAACACACAGCCAGGGCAACTAAGGAGTGGCTCCGTAAGAAGCATCTCAAGGTCCTGGAGTGGCCTAGCCAGTCTCCAGACCTGAACTCAATAGAAAATCTTTGGAGGGAGCTGAAAGTCCGTATTGCCCAGCGACAGCCCCGAAACCTGAAGGATCTGGAGAAGGTCTGTATGGAGGAGTCGGCCAAAATCCCTGCTGCAGTGTGTGCAAACCTGGTCAAGACGTACAGGAAACGTATGATCTCTGTAATTGCAAACAAAGGTTTCTTTACCAAATATTAAGTTCTGCTTTTCTGATGTATCAAATACTCATGTCATGCAATAAAATGCAAATTAATTACTTAAAAATCATACAATGTGATTTTCTGGATTTTTGTTTTAGATTCCGTCACTCACAGTTGAAGTGTACCTATGATAAAAATGACAGACCTCTACATGCTTTGTAAATAGGAAAACCTGCAAAATCAGCAGTGTATCAAACACTTGTTCTCCCCACTGTATACAGGGAGGGGTGATTCCAAATGTTGTGTGAAACTGTTTTGAATTATTTGTTATATTGACTTGTTATATAGAAGAGGAGGCTATTAGGACGGTTAAGATCACTAGAAAAGAGGGAGAACCCATTTCTGTTGTATGAGACTGTCAGGAATTGTCAAGATTACATTTGAGGGGATAAATTCCTCTGTAACGGTGTGAGATAATTCTGGGGGACTAGTCAAGACTACCTATAAAGGGAGGGGTGATTCCAGGTGTGGTGTGAAACTGTTTTGAATAACTTGTTATATAGAAGAGGTGGCTAGAGGAGGGGAGAACCCATTCATGTTGTATGAGACGGTCAGGAATTATCAAGATTACATTGTGGGGATAAATTCCTCCGTAGAGTATGAGATAATTCTGGGGGACTAGTCAAGACTACCTATACAGGAAGGGGTGATTCCAATTGTTGTGTGAAACTGTTTTGAATAACTTGTTATATAAAAAAGGTGGCTAAGGGATTTTTAATGGTACCAGCCATGGGAGGCAAATCCTCACAAGAGGTCACAGAATTTACTGGGGACGAGAAATACATGGAAATGCGAGACAAACGAAATGTGTATTATGGACCTAGTTGAAAAAAATTAAATAATAATGCATGTAACTTGTGGTACTGATCTAAATTAAACAGAAAAGAGAGTAATTAAACTAGAGTCCATGATTAAACAAATGATTGTAAATTGTGGTAATGATCTAAAGAAACAGAAAAGAGAGGGCTAGATACAGCCAAGGTGTGGCCCTCTGAGTCTCGATTAGGCCTGGAGGGAAAATCCAGACAATTAGGTAGTGGTGGTGAGGGGAAAGGTGCCACAGCAGGCTGCCGTTTTGGAGTTTCCACCCCCTTACCAGAACCAAGGGGAAGCTGAGGGAGCACAGAGGGGGGTTGAGGATAAGGCAAAGGAAGATAGTACAGCTGAGGTTCTAACAAAATTTTTGGAACAACAGCAGCAACCCAATTGGTCATTGCATAAATTAGAAAGAGAGAGAGAGAGACGGAAAATGAAGGCTAAGAAAGTAACTAGAGTACTAGGATACAATAGGGGGGTCAAGGGACCGAAGGGTGGAAGGCCCAGGTCCCTGAGGAGACTTGAACCCCACAACAAAAGTCCAGTTAGGAGCTGAGCTCAGGAGGGAGTCAGTATGAGTCAGGAGATGAGAGAGTAGGAGGGTGCCAGTACCCACTGATAGCCTTACCTAATCTATTGGCAGGGAATGAAGGGGCCCCAGCAACCTTAGATGTATACAGGCCATGAACACAGAGGAACGTGGCCCGAGAGGTAGAAGGAATGACCCACCCCAAAACAGGAATAGTAAGGTTTGGGCTGCCATTAGAGGGCAGTGGGTTTCATGGGATGCCCAGAGGGCACTTTTGCCATGGGCCGATCACAGAGAGTATGTTGTGAAAATAACTGAATTGTGTAATAGCCTCAGAGAACATTACCATCATCATGCAGACTTCTCTAAAGTACATGAGTGTAAACAAGAGGATAGTGAGACTGTCAGCCAGTACTTAGAGAGGCTTAAAGATGTGTTTAATGCAAACAGTGGCATACCCGAGCCAGACCAGAGACAGGGGAATGCTACGCCCTACCATCAGCAATAAAAAATATAGCGTTCCTCAGTGGAATGAGACCAGAGATAAGCAGGACCATTAAAATACTTTGATAGGGTGGAGAAAAGCACAGAAACACATATTGAGGTTAAAAGGTATGCAGTTTACCAAGAGCAGATTGGGAGAGAAAAGAGGAGTAATAGAGACCTTAAGGGAGTGCCAACTCTCGGGGAGATAGAGAGGCCAGAAACAAAGGGGCAGTGTCCTGGAAATCACAGTCTATTTTGTTTTTTTCACTTCTGCTGGGAGTATATTTGATGATGGGGATTTGTGTTGAATGAGAGGCTAGAGACTTCATAAAATAATAATTGGAATAATAATTATATATTAACTTGCTCACCCAAACGTAGACATACGTCATGGGTGAGAAAAATTGATATAATATTGTACAAAGCCAATTTAGGGTTTCCATTAAGGAACGTCAATCACTACATTGGATATTAATACTATGGAGATAAATTCAATATATGCTGGTCAACTACGGCATGTGTTTGGTGTTATTTGTAGCCTACTTAGAAAGGACAGTAACCTATATCTGCTGTATTCTAAACAATGACAGATTGGGGGTTTCATAAGAGGTGGCTATAATTTTATTTGATAACAGAGGTAATTAGATTTGAGAAATGTTGAAAAGTAATGTTAGATGGAAAGTCAGCAATAGAGGATAGAGATTGTACAGGGTTTCCTGTGTGAAAAAAGTAATAGAAATTGGGTGATGAGAAATGTTGAATTGCATTGTTTAAGCAAGAATGGCATTAAATTCATGCTTTCTAGTTATGTGTATGCAAATATGTTATTCGTTTTTGGTGGTGTGTGGATAGAATGTACTAATGCCAGGATTTAGTAAACGAAGCAGAGAGATGTAGTGAGAGCAGTGGAAGGGATACCCCACCCTAAGACGGGGGTACACCAGTTCAGAAGAGATA